CCTTCTGTCTTAGGGCTGTGAGACTCGCCAGCCTGCGGCTTTGTCCCGGGGGTAGCTGCAGGGGTCGTCGTGTCCACGGCCAGGCGAAGCAGTGGTAAAAGGGTTGTGTCCGGCCACCCGAAGACTATAAATTGAGTTAGTTTCTAAAGGGAAGTATGGTGCACCAAAATCTAAAATACGTCGTTATTTGTAGTCCTACGAAACTGTAGTTCTGCGTTAGGACGTTGCTATTAAAGGCTGAATGGAAACCATTTGCCTGGCTGAGGCTGTCGTGCAGCAAAGTGAATGAGAGCTGTGGTGTGGGTTGTTGGGTTGTATAGCGTCATTGCGTACACCGATTAAATGACGGTGGGAGGCAAGTTCAACTTCATTGACCAGGATAAGGGTGGGGTTTTTATCCCCCTTGTTTAAGGAAAAAACAATCTCTTGGAAAGTAAATCATTAATCACTGAATCATACAGAGACGTGTGTCATCGTGCCACTTCTCAGGTGAAAACTGGGCTTTGTTCAGCAGCTTGAAATGAACACCCCTAAAGCTGAATACTTAGAGGGAGCTATGGTTTTGTTTGGGGAGGTTTTTTTTAACAACATTTAATCATCGTATTTTCACAATTTTAAAATGTATTATGATAGGCATGGATCTGATCACAGCTGAAGAAACCTTATTAAAGGGTCTTTCACCTGCACAGAATCATAACCAGATTTTTTTATCAGCTTGAAAATGACTGCTGAAAACTAACTTGGTGTCAGAAAATAAGATAATGTATATATTTGTATACGTCTGTCTGCCCTAAATGAATTATTGTCATGCCACAGAAGAAACAATTTAATGTAGTCCAGTGTCCTCTTTCCCCCCAACTTGCCCATTTTTATACCCCCATCTGACTTTCTGTAGGTAAGCTCAAAGTGCAGTGTAGTTAATTGCACTTAATAATAGCTGATGAAAAATGAAGTTACTGTTTCACTGCTTTATGTTTCAAAAACAGTTACACTTTCTGTTCTGTAGAGGGAAGCTTAGTGATATTTCCCATATTGAATAGTGCATTGTGTGAGATAACAAAAGACTTAAGCCCTGGTTTCGCTGAACATAAGCACTTAATTTAACTTCAGGTATTTATTTACCTGCTGTCTGATCTTGAAAAGATTTATCTCTCTGTGATCCATTTCCTGATATGTAAAATGAGGAAGATGCATTTGCCATTTGAGAATGGAGGCGGGAAATAAAGTTTAGAAAGAATTCAAATTAGTGAGTTTTAGTTACCTTTGTAGAAGTCACTAGGATCTTGTTTTCCAAAGAGATTTTGACGTTTCTTGGAAATCCTCAACTACTGACTGTCTGAGTACAGGAAAAGATTGTCTTGTAATATTCTAGCACCCCTTAGAATGGAAAAAAGAAATAAGCACAAAAGATTATAGTTTGTGCTTTAAATAATAAAAAACACTGGAAAAGCTATCATTCTCATTAGGAAAACTTAGCCATATGTCAATTTAATATACAGAACTTAGGTCTTCTGTAGTTATCTGGATCTAAGTGCTGAAGTTAATAGCTGATGTAGCACTTAATTTTGGTTGTGTCAGTAGCTGGAATCCTACAAGCGTATCTCTACCAAGTAATTATTCATCACTCAGTGTAAAAACTATTGGCAGCAATAGTCTTTTTCTTAGTTTTAACAGACATATGAAAATGTTTTTTTAATTTTTAGGTGTTGGGCCTAATTTTTAAAAGTACCCCAGATAACCAAATCAGCCCTATCAACCACGGTGTACCCGACTCCCAGTATGTCTGCTGAGCAGGCAGGCGTTGTTTTATCTCTTCTTTGACTACTTGAACTGACTTGAGACTCCTGTGCCAAAAGTGGAGTTAAATCCTGCCTCTGAATCCTTGTGCTTGTTAGAAGCTTCAGTTAGTGGAAGCTAGTTTCTTTTTTTAATAGTGATTGAGCCTATATCCTGCACCTTAAGGTATGTTCCTATAAAAAGACCCTCTCTTTTTAAAGTAGCCGGTGACATGCTCCCATTCATGCTATATTAACACATTTAGAGATGTGGCTATGGGCTGCCAGTCTCTGGCTGGCCTAGCCAAAATTTCACAGACCTCTCTCTCCATGTTCTAGCAATGCCTGTTACATATTTTGCAGTTCTGCTGCGTGATGGGAAGTAGGGAGGAATGTACTCAAATGCTAGCAAAGTTGTCTCTCTTCTTTCAAACCCCTTCTGCCCGCTCCCAATCCTGCACCCACTTTCCAGAGGCTGAGATGGTTTCCTTGCAGCCCTCCCATCAAAACAGCATCCAGGGGCTGCCCTGACCTTCTGGCTGATTGACCTCTATACTGGTGCCTCCCTGCACATGCAGGCATCCCTACTAGAGTGATAGTAATCCCTACTAGAGGGGTTGCTTTCTTTCCCACAGACCAGTGTTTTGCAGACTTACCATATGGCTGTTTTGCTCTCGGTCATTTCAGGAAAATAAGTCACAGCATTCCCCCAAAGCGCAGGTGCGTTTTGTAGGTGGAGTTATGGGAAGCGGCATGGTGTGTTCATCTCTGCTCATTAAATAAGAGTTATCATGCCCAGGAGCAGCATCCTTGTCAATCTCTGTAGATAATAGGAAAAAGAGTTAATATCTAAGGTTCATAACTCATGAGTGTTTGTGGGAACAAAGGGGACCTTTGTCTGTGGCACCACGCTTTGCTCCTGGCTAATATCTGAATTAATTTGTTCAGATGTTGTTAACATCTGTGTGCTTTGGGTATCAGTCATTTCATTGTGTTGGGCCCATTGTCTTTCTGCCATGGTTGAATGAAGGGATGCTGCCCCTTAAGACATCTGAAGATTGTCATATTATTTTTTTTAATATTATTACAATGGAAACATTGTTAATGGGTATTGTTAGCTTCCTTTTAAATGGTAGTCATCAGGAGGGATGGCTACAAGGTTAAAGAGCTGTGCCATGTGGTGAACCAGCTGTCTGTTGCCCAGGAGCATCTCCTTTGTTGTCTGTGGATTATAGTTCGGAGGCTGTTAAATTCTGTAGTAGTGTATCTGTGTTTTGCAGATCTTTTGTGCTGTTACTCCCTACTCCTGATAAAGGGAAAGGCGTGAAACCATTATTGTTACTTGTTATTGTTACTTTGAAATGTCTGCTTTCTAGTTGATAAAATACATGAAAATACATGATCAATGATTGATAAATACTGCGATGCTTTCAAAAGTGCTATGAAAGATAGCTGAGGTTCAGATCCTAGATAATTGTGTATCATGGATGTTCAAAACATCACTACATTTGTTCAGAGATGCATTTTTGTTGTTTGGTTTTGTTTTTTTTTTTTAAAGATCCACATATATATCTTAGTGTTGGTTATGGTAGAACGTGGATGAAAATGCAATAGCTTTCCCCAAATCGCTTGATGTATGGACCCTTATTTGAGACTAAAAGCATCTTAACACCTTGTTAAGGTTTGGTAAGTTATATAGGCAGTGTTCAGTTAAGTAATATGGAGAAATAAATTCTTATTCCAAAAAAAAGAGTGAAGAAGAATGTCCATATATCAATGTAAATGCTCATAAATGCAGTCTATTGGGTAAAAATAAAACCAAACTAAATTACACTGAAAATTGTCTCTAAAGTAATTCTTTCTCTTTTGTTTTCCAGTATAAGTATAGAGACCTAACTGTACAGGAAACGACCAGTGTTATTACTCAGTACAAGGACCTCAAACCTGTCATGGATTCATATGGTTAGTCTGTACATGAGAAAATTTTTGTTAGTGAATTGTTCATTGTTTAAATATATTTAGTAGCTTTTGTGGGGGGAAAAAAGGAGATTAAAACTAGAAAACATAATTTGAGTTTCTCGTCTTGATCTTTGACATCAATACTTCCTTAGAAACACAGACAGTTATTTTCTAAAATAGACTCAGTAATATAGAAAGGTTATCCAATCTGTCAAGAAGTGTTGTTTTTCACAGCTTAACTTTTAGTTAATCACTCAGTGATGTTATATCAGTTCGTGTCCTGAGACTGATGGCATCTTAGAAATTCAGCTTTGCTGTCATATAAAGATATTTGTAGAGTTCTATTTAGAAAGAACTGTAAATCAAGGAACAAATACTTCATTAAAAGTAATTGTGGCAGTCCTTAAGAGTACGAGGAAAACATCGTAAAGTGTATAGAAAATTGGTACGAGGGGTTTTGTAATATAAATTAACAATGACAATCACTGTTTGTTAGCTATTTTAAAGGCTCTGACTGAATTTGAATGTATTAAATGAAGATGATATCTAGGGTCAGCTCCAGAGGCTGAGGGCATGGTTTCACAAGATATGGTGAGCCAACGTAGCTGCTGAGGTCATCCTCCTGATCACCTTTTTTTAACTGTTACCTGTGGGATTCCTCTGTGAGCTAATTTATATTACTAATACATCATCAGAGACTTTATAGTCTTTTGCTCTTTAAATTCTAAATCTGAATTGAGAAGTATTAAGAAGGGTCATGGACAGGTAAAAGATAAATTAGTTTTAACTTGAATAGCTGCAAGCCAGCAGCTGTCACAGAAATAAAAATTCGTGCAGTGACTGGAGAATCAAAAACAATAGTGAAAGGACTGTGATTGGAATAGCAAGTTTGCATAACAGTAGTGGTCAGAATTCCACTTGCTGTAGCAAGAAGCCTGTTTGTGTTACCTAACTCTTTCTAAGCTGCCTGAAAAAGGCAGAGCACAGAACCACTTACAGATAATTGATACTGTTTGGAGCAGTGAAATGAGCAAAAAGAAAATGGTTACATTGCCGGTGAGATAATTTTCAAGTTTATATTAATAATGAAATATATACCCCCATTTAAGTCCCAACATGTTCTACCTGCCTTTGCAGCACATTAGCGCCAAAAGAATTGTACACAGTAAGCTACATTTGAAGTATGACAAGAAACTTTCTGGGAAAATTAGGAAAATAAAAGCTTTATTACCAGAAGTTGATATATTCAGCCAAGAATAATCTATTGGGTTGAAAGGATGGGAAAACTAAATACAGCAACTCAGTAAATTGAGGTCAGGGTTCCTGTGCAGTTTGTGAACTAAGGCTAAGATGTGTCAGTGAGTCACATTTCTTCCACTTCACTATATTATTGTTTGGTTAAATTACCTTTACTGATTATATAATAAATGCTTGTGGCCTGATAATTTTCAGTATTCTTGCTGACCTGTTTGTTTGGAGAAAGCATAAGGAATTCTTTGCAATCCTAAAATGACAGTTGTTTTTTAAATTACGTTTGAGTTCAGATTATCTTTCTGGCAATTTGTATGATTTGCAGTTTGTATAGTTCCAACATGTTTTACTTGGTCTCTGAATGAGGAAACAGTTTTAAATGCAATGAAGGTAGTTTGACAATAATTAGTCATTTATTTCTCAGAAATATATTGTTCATAAGAAGTTACCTGACTGTAGACAATCATTTGCTAGTCCATAAATGTGCAAGAGCAGAACCTATCAAGCTGAGTTTATGTATGTGTAACATCTGAAAACTTAGGCTCATAAATAGATGGGGTGTAACCTGAACAGAGATTAATGTAGCAAATATGTTTGTTTTAAAAATACTGTTTGTTCCCTTTCAGTTTTTAACGATGGCTCATCTAGGGAGTTGATGAGCCTCAGTGGAACCATTCCTGTGCCTTACAGAGGTATGCATTTATTACTATCATCACCACCATTATTTTCCCAAATTACATGAAACACTGTTTAAATTTGTCCTGGTTCAACTTCACTATTTCAGTGATTGCTGTTTTCTTGAAATCCTTTACTTGTCCAAAGTATAATGTCTGAAAGAAATTGCTCTCTATTTTTGCTGTGGAATAAAATTTTAACATTGGGCATGGCTTCTTCAGTCTTGTACAGCCCTGTAACATCTCTTTTCTTTCAGTACTGTGTGTTTTTCAAGCTTCTCAGTGGAATGAGTGTTGCAAGCCATTTATTGCTGCAGCTAACCATAATTCGGATTAGGGTCTAGTAATGTTGCATTGTAGAACAAATGAGATAACCTTTTAGTGGTAAATGATAATGTAAATGAAAGTTAAATTATTCTGAAAAATGTTGAGTTCATAGCCATATTGTGAGGTCTTTGTTGAATGTTATTAGTAGATTTCAGCTTTGAGTCTGATGCTGTGCAATTGCATTTACTGAGTTTAGGAGTTTTTTATAAATCTGGATAGAAGAGGACAGTTAGAGAGTTGGAGTAACGTTTAAAATCTTTCAAAATATCTTTTCTAGGTAACACATACAATATCCCAATTTGCTTGTGGCTGCTGGACACTTACCCTTTCAACCCCCCGATTTGTTTTGTTAAACCCACTAGCTCTATGACAATAAAAACTGGGAAGCATGTTGATGCAAATGGAAAGATATACCTTCCTTATCTGCATGAGTGGAAATATGTAAGTATAGGGAACTTGAAATCCTCAAATTGCTCAGTTCTGAATTCCTTTAGACATAGTTGTATAATTTTTAACAGAAAATATAACCCTCTTTATTTGAGTTCTTAAACCATTTTTTAAATGAAAACAACTGCTTATTATTTGTAATGTCTTAAAAGTTCAGAATGTTGCATTCTGTTGTGTGGCTAATTGCACCTGTAGTTACATTTTGTCTGATTAAACAGCCTTCCCTGGCAGGGCACTGATGTGATGATCTGTGAGATAAGAACATGTATGGAAAGGAAATCGTAAATTCTGTGAAACATCTCTGGGCTGAAATTAATCTCTGTGACTAAAATGGACTTGTATGAGCACTTGGACTTCTTTATGTAGACATTGCTGGAGCTTCAACAATGTAGATATATTTGCTTTACCAATAAGCAAAAGCATTGAGCAGTGCAGGCCTCATAGACGTTTTGACCAAAGTATGGATTTGTAAAGAAGATAAACTGTGTTGACAAGGTCAGAAGAATGGTACAAGATGCGTAGTTCTGTAAAAAGCGATTAATGGAAATAAATTCATTAAGCATGGGTGGTAGTTCAGCACTTGCGTGGTAATAGTGGAAAATGAATTCCCAGATCAAGATGTAGGTCCTGCACAAGCAAGAGGATCATCTAAGATACAGGTGATACAGAATTAATTCCATTTGAGAGGTTGCTAAAAATAAGTAAGTGGAAGTATCTAAGAAAATTTGGAAATAAGATATTTAATCTGATGCTGCATTCATGCTGCTTGTCCTTATTTTGGTGAAAGGAAATCATGCCTATATTAAATGTAGTTATAAACTGAGAAGCCTTGTTTAGCTGTATTAAAGCAGGTTTGTGCCACTCCTTAGTGGTTAGAATGTATTTTCTCTTGAGCCATTCTGAACCTGAGAAAAAACTACATGCTCGATGAAACTGAAATATCTGAAAACTTAGTGATCTGTACTTTTTTCATGTTGGAGAGTGGCTTTAAGTTTTAAAAAACTGTTATAATCCATCTTTGCACAGTCATCTTCAGGCTATTGCCCTGTGGTTGGAACTATGTATTACCCAGTTTATTCTGAGTGTAAACACTACTGCAGCTGTATTCTGCTATACAGTTCTGAATACCAGCTGGCTGGGCTTGCAGTCTGTAAAGAAATCTATAAAGGAAGTTAATATGCACATATATATAAACACACACACATATATTTATATATGTGTGTGTGATATATATAGTTATATATATTATATATAGTGTTAACAATTCTATATATAGTGTTATATAGATTTTATATATAGTGATATATATCTTGTGGGTTTTTTAAATATTTACATAAAGAAAAGGATGGCTTTTGAGAGCTGATGGATTGTTACTGTTTTGTTATTATAGTTAGCTAAACTGTCTTTTAACAAAATCAAGAACTTGTGATTTGCTTACCCTTACAGCCCCAGTCAGACTTACTCGAGCTGATTCAGGTCATGATTGTTGTGTTTGGTGAGGAACCTCCAGTCTTTTCTCGGCCTACTGCTTCATCTAGCTACCCACCATACCAGGCAACAGGCCCACCAACTAGTAAGTGGTCATGGCTACTAATTTCTACAGACAGTCATATTTATATTCCAAAGCAATTTGTTGCTCTGCATAGTTTGCCAACAAACATTGTATTCTACTCTAGAATGACTTTCTGTAGTGCTGGCTAACAAATTCACTTGTGCTGTATTTTACCTTTTTGAAGTATGATGGAAGAATGTGTGTGTGTTCAGCTTTTGGAAGGGAGGGGAAAATCAAGTTTGTATTTAAAAAACACAAACCACACCCCCCAAGCCCCTCAAAACAGCTAGTAACCTGTGAACATTCAGAGATAACCTTAAAAGGAGATTATTCAGATAACTGTCTATATCTTAATTTTTTTTCTTCTGATAATACAAGTCCATCTGTTAAGTTTCCTGCAACCACTGATTTAATATGCAAAAGCATACTGCTTGGGTTTTCTATGCCTGCACTCCCGGTTTGTTTGTTGTTGGTTTTTTTAATAATTGCTGGCTGAATGTGAAAGAAATCTGCCTTGTGATTTTTCATTCTTCTCTCTTGATTTGGTACTCTGACTTAGTAGTCATTCTTACTTTATTGCAAAAATTCTCAAGACTTTTTAAAGTCTTCTATTTATTTAAACTTCTGAAGACATCTTATTGTAAAGACTGGGGATAGGTTGGTTGGGGGGAAAAAAGGGGAAGTGGGAAACAGAAAATCCTGTAAAATCTTCCAAAGGAGACACTGCATTGGGTGGAAAAAAACCCCGACCAAACCAGTAGAGAGTAGATCTATTCAAGCCAAAGACTGCAGGAGGTGTGTGGGGGGGAGCAGATTAGCTGCAGGTTGTTTAATGATCTTATAAGAGAGTTCTACATTAATTTAATGGTCGAGGAGCTGTATTTGAGGTTATATATTTTTGCTTTATTTTTAAAGTTGTGTCTGTTTTCTGTTGAAACACAGCTTTCATCAGATCATAGTGTTACATCTGAAAAGCTGCAGTACTACACTTTCCAGCAGAAACCATTTTTAACAAGGTCTTAGATTCTTAACATGCAAGAAAAGGGGTAGCAAACATAAATGGGAACATTAGGGATAGTTGGCTAAAGGTAAGCATTTGAGACTTTTTAGCATGTCCAGTGCTAGCCTGTGGGAGCACTAGAGGATTCTACTGTTCTGATTTTCCAAGAACAGTGGGTGTCAGTACAAGTGCAGTGTTAGGAGAGACTGTGACCTGTAGTGTGCTTTAAGGAGGGACCATCAATTGAAACACACTTGATTACTCTTGCAGTCACTCAATGCTAGCATAGCTGAAGTAATTTTAGTGGATACGTTTCAGGACTTTCACATTGCTAACAGCTACTTAATTTTACTGATGTAGTCAATTTTTCCTTATTTTAGAGATATGCATGTTTTGGGTTTTTTTAAGTTCTAGATACACTATTTAAGAGGAAATGAAGCCCTTTAAAAAAAAAACAAAAACAACCTATTTGATGTAATATTCCTAAAATTACTAGAAATGTGGAATAAATATGTTAAAAACATAATTTTTATAATAGAATTCTCAGATTTCCAAGAAGAAACTTGAAATTGCTAGGACAGTTAAAGCCTTAGACATTTAGAAGTGCTGATAAAAATTGTTTAAAGTATGACTTCTAAATGGCAGAAATTACTGGATAAGAACATGAATTGATTAGCCCTTTTAACAATCTAATGTTATGAAGTCTAGCTGCTCTGAAGGTACTTAAATTATACAGTTGTTATTTAGTGATTAGAGAACAATGGCTACATTGGAAAGGTTATTTTCTTTTTTTAGCTATTATGTTAAAAAATTGAGACACCTCTTCAGGTGTGTCAGCTTTAATAATGTGCCATTTTTTTGTGATCCCTAGCTGCAGATACTTTTTCTTACATACCCACATTTTACTTAGTACAACTACTTGTGGTGTATGTTTAAATCGATATCCATTTTTATCCATGCAGTGGTTAGTTTAATGATCAAGAAAAAAATAAATATGCAGTGAAAGGCGTTCTAGGCAGTTGTTCTATGGAACGTGTAATTGACTTCAGTTACAGTTCTCATACTCTCCCTCTGAACAAAACTCTTGAAAATATTTTAACAAAAGTTGATAGGTAGAGGTAGAATCTTCAGAAACACAAAATTTGCTGGTGTTTTGTGAAAATGTGCTTGCATACGGAAAGGAAATTCTAATTGATCAGTATGTGGAGGGAAGGTCTGCTGCAGTTTAGTCCTTTCTGTGTTTTGAGGGGAAGCAGCTGCCTTGGTCACTTGGCAGAGAAAGCGCTCACAGCGAACGTCTGCTTGTCCTTCTTGCCAAGCTGCACAAGAGCAGCGTGGGAAGCATGTGGGAGTGTTGTGAGAAGTGATGGTGTTAGAGGAGGCAGGGTACATGTTATTGAGGGGGTTTGGCCATAGAATGACTTCTCTTCCTCTTCTTGTTTCATTGTGTTATACTCTATTCATTGTTCAGTAATATTTCAAAAAGCATCTATCTGCAGCGTAAGTATATGTCACTAGTGTGATCTTTATATATATTAAACTTCTGAAAAGTAACTAATACACAAAATCATTATTTTATTTAGCTTCCTATGTGCCGGGCATTCCAGGCGGAATATCTACCTATCCAGCAGGAAGCACTCCAAACCCAAGGTAAGAACCCCTTTAAACCATCGCCATTTACATAAGAGACAGTTTCGCTGAATAGTATCTAGTTTTAGTTGCATTTTCTTATGGTATATTTGTTGTATAATTATGGTGTTATCAGTTTTGTGGGTTCTTTTAAAGTGAGGACTGAATTCTTGTTATTAGCCAAAAGAAAGTTCAAGAAAGGATTAGCTGTCTTCCTGTTGCTTCAAATACAATATACTTGGGAGATAAATATATTTTGAAAACTCCCCGATGTTATCTTGCTTCACTTATGTATCGGGTTAGTTTTTATAAGGTTGATATGTGTACGTGTTATAGAAAGAAATGTACCCCTACAAGTTGGGATTTTTTATTGGTGGTGTTAGTATTCTTTGGGGTAATTAGCAACTCAAAACATTGAACAAAACAATTGCTGGATGAATACAAACTTTGTCTCCAGCGTAAATGTGGACTTAATTCAGAGCACTCTAAGAGAATTTGGAGGGCATGAAATGATTTTAAAAGCTTTTTATTAATATAAAACAAGACTTTTTCTTTAAGTGTATTATATAATAGTTTGGAATAAAACTTTTCCAGAAGACTTGCGGTTCTGTCTTAGGAAATAGTAAGATGCTGATTGCTGCCTCCTTGTGTGTACCTACATTTTTTCACATAGTAATTAATTCTTCTTGTTATTAATATCCTTATGTCCTGATTTTGTTTTAGGAGCATATGAGTAGCTCTTATAGTATATAAAATTTTGATTAAAAAAATTTAATTAATTTAAACCCCCTTAAGCATTAGGAAGGTGGGGTGTTAAGTTTTAAGAGGTGAAAAATGGGAATTATGGCAAGTTTTTATCCTCCTTAATACATTTATTTAAAGTGCCCTTAATGTTTGTACAGAAATGTATAACAGGAGAACTGTTTTTTAAAGTAATATAATTTATGAATGAGCAGAAAGGTTTTAAGAACTATTAAATTTGCAATTATCTGGAGAGGCACAGAATATGCTTATTTTATATTTTACATCTTTTCTTGGACCATTTTGTTTACTTATAGCCATGATTAATACTCTGGTGTATTCAGGTGTTAGTTTCATACTGACTAATTTGAGTCCTTGTTCCAGTTGATAGTAAATGTATTTCATAAAGGTATTGTAGACTGTCATGTTATGTGTCATCTCGCAGTTGTTTCAGTGAACAAATGAATACTTTTGCTTTCCTTCATCCTTCAGAGCAGGGCTGAGAATTTCTGAAGGAGTTTCATCTTGCAGCCATATTTTGCACAATGTTTACATAAAGCAGTTCAGCAGTCATCTTGTTAACTATTCTCATATTACAAATTATTAAATTGAAATTGCCATTTGTGAGTTTGTAGCTAGAATAATTTCTTCTGGATACTTTTGGTTTTTTGGATGGCAAGTTAGAAATTACACGGCAAGACTGAAGAGAATTTGGAATGATTCAAATGCTTGACCAGGCAATAACTAGATAGGGTTTCAGACAAAATGGTAGTCTTCTTAAATCATACCAAAAATATAAATTGTGAAAGACGTTAATGTGAAAAGGAAAAGAGAAAAAGTGTAACTTGGCCTGCATTTTAAACATTTTATTATGTAAACAACTGTTTAACATGGTGACATAAAGATAATATACATGGATGATATTTTACAGATAGTTACATAACATTAGCATATCTTTCTTTGTCAAAACAGCTACCCAAACTATCCTTATCCGGGTGGCGTTCCATTTCCAGCAACCACTAGTGTTCCGTACTACCCTTCTCAGCCTCCTGTGACTACTGTTGGTGAGTAGCTTTGAAAGGATTCCTCTGAAGTGAAGCTTCCCTCTGTAACTGATACGTAAAGAAGGAAACTGGAAAAAGGAATGTATTGTTCTTAATCTGACCTTCCGAAGTATTGATCTTCAATTAAAAAAGTTATTCAGAGGAAGAATAAAATACATTTTAGGTCCTTTGCCTTATATTTTATTCAGTCAGGAACTTGATAAATTCCTGGGTTTGTGCGATGCATTGTGTGTGCTCTGTGAGTATTTTGAAGAACTCTTGAGTGTGACTACCTTAAGTTTTTTTCCCTTACTCTTTTAACTGTAGGTGACTTTTGATTGTCTATGTTGCTCTGTTCGTGATCGTGGTTTATAAAAATGCTTTTGTCCTCATTTAATCATTTACTGGACTCACTTTATTTATACTTTCTTTACTGCAAAAGTAGTAGCTATCTAAAGCTGAGGTTTCCAATGCATTTAGAGTGAGCTTCATTTTTACTGAGTTTCTTCTTCAGCCTATTCACTGTTGCTTTTCAATAGTCTTTACTTGTTACTTCCTTCTTTCTTCCCTTCAGCAGCAAGATCCTGGGGTGTTAATATGTGTCTTTTCCCGGTCTGCTATTCTGTGGCCCTGCGCTGGCAAAACACACTAGCTTAGTTTCTGCTCTGCATCTCACTTTTAGTGTATGTGTAACGGATTGGGAACCGGTAATAAAGGTCATCTAGTTAATTAGGAAGTTGGTGCAGTAACTTTCCAATTGGATGATAGTCCTTTTGGAACAGTTATATAGTAAGGACATAGACTTTTTTGTGACCTTGTTCAGAGTATCAATCATTTGTAGTCTCTTGCACCATAATTTAAAAGTGCACCATAATTTAAATTTAAAAATTAAAAAATTTAAATGTAGGTTCTTCATTTAATGTGTGAACTCCCAGTTACTTACACACACTCTTACCTCCAGAATTGTATGTATTTTGAAATTTTCATTCACACAAATGGGGACAAGGCAAGTTCACAGCTTGGCAAAGAAAGATAGAGGCTTCCACTTAAATATTTGAGGAGCTATTCTGGTGCTACAGAATTTGGAAACAATAAGTTGTATTCTTGTTTTGCCTGATCCCATCCTTTGTGTCCATCCTTTGTGTTTCAGCCTTCTGAATTAGAAAAGTCTTTTCTGAAAGTTGTTGGTCGCTTCAGTCGTCATCTCCTCTCTGAGGTGACATGTGTCTACTATGCACACTGCAAGAAAGCTGTTGTCCCACTTACGTAGCTCAAACAGTACGCAGTGTTGGGGGGGGCTGTAGTTGCATCCTTGAGAATTGATGGGTCTCCGCTTGCCACCATGTAGGGAGGCGACAAGAACATTTCTAGGGAACGTTGCCTTTCTGCAGCATCTTTCTCAAACAGATCCAGTTTTGCTTTTATCTTATAGAGATTTAATTTAATATATAGATATATCCTATTTCATTTCTTTCCCACATTTTCATCCCCAGGGAAGATGAACAGAGGTGGAATATCTGCCAGCTATCGCACAAGGCTCTTCAATTCCTGAGTTATACCATGTTGTAATGCCAGATTTTGTAGTGGCAATTTAACATTAGACTGATGCATTTGAAGCAGCTAGGTAAAAGTCATACACCTGCTATACATGGTTTATCTCTTGTTCCAAATTAAATGCAAATATGTCTCTTTAATCATCCACTGTATTTACAGTAGTGTTTGGGTTTTTCACAGTACAGTATTGTTTTTTTTTCTTTCAACTGCAAATGTTTATTTCTTACACAAATTGTTTGGCTACGGTTTATTGTGATAGTTTGTTTAAGATGTATCAGGTGCTGCAGCTTCAGAGTTTTGTGTGGGTGGTGGTGGGGTATTTGCTACAGTGAGCTTAGTTTGAATTGAAAGAAAGTGTTCGTTAGAGTAGCTTAATTTTTTAATAATAGCTGTTTTCTCAAATAGTCCTTCAGGCTTTTTCTTTCTGTTCAGTCATCTGCCATTAATTACCTTTCTGATGCAGTTACTAGTTTGATGATTCTGTAAGGTCACTTGTGAAACCAGACTCTGCCTCATAAAGGTTAAGGGTTGCAGTGCTCTGTGGATTTAATGGCTGTGTGCCATAAAATCTTCCTCAAGCTGGGCTAATTATGGAAGTGACAGAAAATGCTAAGGGTTCACGCTCTTTAACAAGATACATAAAATCTGATTGAGCTGTATTAAAATGATCCTTTACATGTTCAAAGACCTCTTTCTTATCTGTTGGCACTTCTACGTGAACCTTCATTGTCTTAGGTGTATTGTGATTTTATTTTTTTTCGCTGTCCTGCGTTACTGCTAAAGTGAGCCTTGTATGAAACCTCCCAGAGTGAGGGATATGAGGAGGGAAAAATGTAGAACTGATGTCTGGTTCTTTATGTTAGAGAATAATTCATTATGTAAAATAAACGGTAACTGAAATCCTGCTGGAAACTGACTTGGTTTAAGTTTGACTTCTCAGTGTAGAAAATACTGTTCTTTTCTCCTTTTCATAAGAAGCAGAAATGAATTCCTGGGTTTGTGTGTATGGTGCCATTTGACAGCTTGTGTTGCTGATTCTAATAGACAGTTAACCAAATACTAAAAATCACCTTGTTGACTGGCAACAGGGTGCATAGCTTAAGCTAGAACTGTAAGTCAAATCAAATGCTGGGCCATTTATATTTTCATAATGCTATATTTGCAGCAGTTGATTAATAATTCGATCTCTCTTTTTCTAGTAGTAATTAGCTTTTAAAAAAAAAAATTACACATATTCTGGTGCAATTTGTATGTCAGTAAAGTATTAACATGAGTAATTACCAAAATCTGATGTTTTCATAATTTTAGAAGAATTTGGTGGATTAGTAACCATGATGTCACCTTCCCATAGTTCCTCTCATGTCATTTGTGTAGCTTCATTTTTCCAGATATCTGGCTTGGTGTAGGTTTTATGGACAGGAATAAAGTAAAAGGCATAGGAAAGAGATATGAACTTATGCAGTCTGCTGTGTTAGCAGCAGAAGTCCAAAAATATTCTGCATGTTTTAAGAATTGAGGTGTGCAGTCAACAGAACTTGTCAAGAAGTTTGCGTTTATTAGTATAACAATACCTACAGATACTCCGAATAGATTTATTTTTTTTTTTTAAATTATGATGAGATCCTAACAGAAAATTGTTAATTTTCCCATTCAGATGCTTGTTACTAAAGGCAGAGTTTAGATTTTTAAACTATGTTCTGGATTGTTGCTAATTATCAGGAAGATACCCAACCTACCCCAAGAACACTGTAACGCTGAGATTTCACTTAACAGCCAACCCTCTTCCTGAATAACTCTAGTAAAATTATTGTAATCTTATTTCTGGCTAATAGTCATTTAGTTACTGACTACTATCAATAATACATTCAAAAATACATTTATAACTGTTTATCTTAGTGTAATTTACTCTAAAAATACCAGTCTTTGAACTACTGTGTTTAAAAGGCAAAATTAATGTATGGTTTGAGTTGCTTGTTTGCTTTTGCTTCTTCTGAGAACCTGTGATTATTAAGAAAGGTGAAGAGGTTGATGGGATTTCAGCTGGCTTGAGACAATTTTCTGAACCTTTGGGAAGCAAAAACAAAAGATAGGCTAATGATTTTGTCTTTAGCTGCATAAGATTAACGGGACCCTTGATGAATATTTTTTCACTTTGTAGTTTTTTTGAAATCTAGGATACTGGGAAATAGGATGTATGTAGTGCCATAACAATTTTGGGGTTTTGATAACTGTGTCTCTGGATACAAAGATACTCTGGTAAGATTTCTCTTTGCAAAATTTCTTTCCAGTTACAGAACTTCAGATCTCTTTATGATTAATCCATAAAAGTTGGAAAGCTTAGGCACAAAACCTACTATAATTCTTGCTTGATTAGTAGTTGTTACAATCCAGTTGAAATGTCACTGATCTAAAAGGTGTGAGGCATAAGCACAGGGAAACTGTGCTGCTCTGGTTTTTCTTACAGAAGAATGGTTGAAGCGGTTTGAGATAAACACGGATACAGTTCTGCAGCCAGTAGCCGCTACTTCATGTTCTCCAGAGCAATCAGATTTTCCTGGTCTGCAGATACACAACATTTCCTGTGACAGACATAAAGGATTTACCTTTCTATTTAAAAAAGGTGTTAGTGATAGACTCTTGACATTAGGTAATCTCATTGAAAGGTCGATTTGCAAAAGCAATAGTAATATTCAGGCTTAAATGTGAAAGCCTCTAGTGCTTCAGAGGGAGAGGGACTAATGAAATATATTAGAGAGGTTTTTTTCTTCTACTATATTTGCTAGTATTGCTGCATTGAAATGTGATTTAATAAATGGAAATTACAAGTTGTACCTAGCAATCAAAACAATCAAAAAAGATAGTAACCTCACTTCTTGTGACTCAGTTTCATAGCAGCCTCTGTCCCTGTTTAACTGTAACATTGATCGTTTATAGAAGCTGGTTATAAAATACTAGAACAATATTGGTTAGTAGTTAGTTTCGCTACTACTAAAATTACTACCCTTAATTTCTGGGCACGATGGACCAAGTGAAACTGGCAAATTAGTACACCTGCAGTCAAATTGTATGTTATCATCTTTGTCTTACACTTACCTAAAATAGCTATGCTTGCTTTTGTTAGAATCAAATTGTATAACTAATTCCACGGAATCTCTGTATGCTTGACTAATACTCTTTATTCGACTAACATTAAAGAAGTTCTTCATGGGTGTTTCAACACCACTACCTAATTTTATAAACCATGCTCCCCCCAACTCTGCTCCAATTACAATACCATCCTGCAGAAGTTTAAAAAAAGAAATGGTAGGCCCAGTGTAACACTGAACATGTACCTAAAAGACTGCCATCTCATTTTAGTCTGCCAGAATGTATCTATAAACCATATGCTAATATGATTGATTAGCATTTCTCTCTCTGCTTCGTAATTTTTAAATAAATGTTGCTCGTTTAAAGTAAGATTACCTCGATAACAAATGTTCTATATTAATGCTGATTGGTTTACTGCCCTCCATACCTGCCCTAGGATGGCTGAATGATTGTGAAACCAATTCAAAAGACTAGTTCATATTGTAGGTTTTTAATCACTGGACAGTAACTTGTCAGTTAAACAGACCCTGCTATTAGATCTTCATAAATATAAAAAGGCAACAGTTAAGATCTTTTTCACTGAAAATTACTTTTGTTAGCTTAGTGTTTATTTATTTTTATTCATCTTAAAAAGAACCCTAGTAATTGGCAAGCCTCAAGACAGGGCATCTATAGGCAAATTCACTGTCTCAAGCCAGCTGTTACATTAATTGTGGTTGAATACGTGTATCCATTAATTCCTATAGAGTTTACCAGAAAAATATTCTTCTTTTAAAGACTCAGACTAACAACATTTGTAGACTTCAGGGGAAATGGTTGGCCGATTTTTAAATTAAAGGAAGATTGAGCATATGGGAATAGTGAAGTGAATGAATGGATGCATGCTCTGAAATTTACTTGTGTACATCTTAATGCGTTTAATCTCACTGTGGTCTCTTTGCCGCTTCTGAAAATTATGGTAACCAGTTTATTTTACTGTCTCATATTGCTCAAGTACGTACAGCAAGTTAGCCGCTTTTTTTTTTTTTTTTCCAAACTGCCTTTATACTGAAGCCAGGGCAGAAGAGAGTTAATTTTGTGCTTGTGAATTTTCTTGTGCAGGACCCAGTAGAGATGGAACTATCAGTGAGGATACCATTCGAGCTTCCCTTATTTCGGCAGTCAGTGATAAACTGAGATGGCGGATGAAAGAAGAAATGGATCGTGCACAGGCGGAACTCAATGCCTTGAAACGGACAGAAGAGGACCTGAAGAAAGGACACCAGAAACTGGAAGAGATGGTGACTCGCCTGGATCAAGAAGTGGTAAGTTGAGATGAAACACTGCTCTGTATCTGAGTATTCCTAGTAGTGAACAGAAGCATGTACTTAATTCATTATTAAGCATGATAGAAATATCAAAGCTTCCAGTGTATTGGTTTTTAAATATATATTCTCCTTCTCAATTGAGTGCGTTCACGCTGAAACAAGTCAGAAATAGCAGTGAGTGTAAGATGCGTTGTCCTGTATGTATCTTATAAATGTCATTGTTTGGTAGTCGAGGAACAGTGTTATTTTTCCCCATTCTCCCTGTGAAATAGGTCAGTGTTGTGAGATTATTTCATAGTTGTGTCTCAGTTTCTGAATAATAACATTCTCTAGCTGCACTAGAGAACATTTCAGTGTCGTAGTGCAGACGCTGATTTTAGTCGCCGCTTCCTTGTACAACCTTCAGACTCTTCCTTTCTCACACAAGAGTCTCTCCTACTCAGTATGCTCAGAAGTTCCTGCAGTTTTTCATTAAGGTCTGACATCTGCTTAGTCCCTCTGCTCCCTGCATTACTGCTTGGTAGTAAGATTTTGGGATTGATGAGCAGTTTCTGAAACGAGCTCAGTGCTCGGATATGGTTTTAAAAAAAATAACTAGCAATTATTAATAAGGACTAGAGAACAGGTGATACTATTATGTCACTATATAAATCTACAATGTACCCACTGTAAATGTAGTGTGTAATTGTAGTCTTTCCCGTCTTGGAAAGAAAGGACATAATACAACTGTGGATGTTTGATGCAAAGGCAAGAAGGATGATCCAGCATATCAGACAGCTTCCATATAAAACATGACTAAGTAAGCTAGGACTTCAGTTTGGAAAAAAGCCAGTGGCGACAGAGTGTGTGGAATATGATAATGGTCCGTACGGCTTTGAGTGATAGGAGGAAAAACACAGTGGTGTACAGTCTCTTCTAGTGTGTGAGCTGTGATACATCAAAAATATCAGGAGGCAAATTCAAAAGTAGCAAAAGGAGGTATAGATGCAGTTAAATTATAGTTACCATTACTGGGTAAAGCCAGCATCTTTTGTTTCCTGTTACCAGTTAAGTGTTTGATCCATGCTCAGCAAACTTGTGTAGGAAGTTACTCCAAAAGACACATTTCCGAAGAAAATAATTATTCTGACTTTGCTTTTATTATCATTAGCTAGTTTAAATGTTTTGTTCTTTTTTTTTCTGTGGCACCTTCAAAATACTTAAAGGCTCTTAGAATGCCTTCTCTACAGTTATAATTTCATAATGGATAGACATTGTCTAAAACAGCCTTTACTCTTTTACAATGAAAGAATCTGAAATCTGTAGATTGGTAGCTCTTTCCTTTGGTAAAAATCATAATAGAAATGAGTAGAGAAGTAAAGAATCAAATCTAAAAATCTTTCATCTTGACAGTTTTATCATAAGAAGACATTAATCTCTTGAGACCTAAGAAATAAACAAAAATCTTAATTGTTTTTAGGCTGAAGTTGACAAGAACATTGAACTTCTCAAGAAGAAGGATGAGGAGCTCAGTTCTGCTTTAGAGAAAATGGAAAGCCAGTCAGAAAATAATGACATAGATGAAGTTATTATTCCGACAGCACCGCTTTACAAGCAGATCCTGAACTTATATGCAGAGGAAAATGCAATTGAAGACACCATCTTCTATCTTGGGGAAGCATTGAGACGTGGAGTGATAGACCTAGATGTCTTTTTAAAGGTAGGTTTCTTGGGATGTTTTTGAGATGTGCATTTTAAATGTGTTTAAATAATTTAAACTCTTTTGTTCAGCTAATTAATATTAGTGAATTCTTCACTGAAAAGGATCCTGTAAGAACATGAATACTTACATGTTGAAACATAAGTTTTAAAAGAGGAATTTCAGAATTAAGATAAAAGACCAATTATAAAAGCATTATAAATACAAAGTCATTTATCATTAGATGGATGCAACAGTGTTGACATAAGCTTTGTGTTGCACTTGCATTCTAATTCAGGAGAAACTAACTTGAAGGGTGATCGGAGTGTTCAGACAGCTTTTCACTTGCAGTCTTTGGATGCCTCTGCTGAAGCAGCCAGTGGAGTTCTGGAATCGTAAAGGGGAAAAAAAAAAAACCCAGCTAGTTTTGCCTCTAGCAGAGACCTTCTTAGACAAATTGTTCCCTTTCTTTGCTGTCCTTAATACTGGAAGTTTTCATAATGTCCAATCTAATAACCTTTTTTTATTTTGAACTTAGGTGCATGGTGATGGCACGTGAAATAAACACAGACATGTTGTTGTTTTGGAAAGATTATAACCACTTTTTTAATGTAGAATAAAACTACACAAAATGTGTATGTCAGCATAATTAATGTTGCCACTGGAACTGGAAAGATTAGTGTGCAGAAGTGTTAATAGTCTGTACTGGGGCCATTGGGTAACAGGAGTTACCAGTCCTTCCTTTTTCTAACAGTTGAGGTTGCCCTCGAGTTACCACTTAAACTTTGTTTTTAACATCCAGTGTACAATGCACTGTGTAGAGACTTATTATTTCTTTCTTATGTAGCTTGCTGGTTCTGTTTATCTACTGTTAAAAGAACTGTTCTCTGCCCCATGGGAAGTGCATTAGTCTGACTTCACCTTGGAGTACATATTACTACTTTTCGCTTTGATAAGAATATGTGCAGAGTTAATAATTAAAATCGCAAAAAATATACTATAGTGATTGCATCTGCAAGTCATGCTGTTTAGTAAACTAAGGCATTTAGTGTTTCCAAAAGACTAACATCCTGTTCGTCATGGAATGTGTCATGCTTTGACAATTTGTATTGCGATATAATTAAGATATCAAAACTTTCCCGATAACCAGCTGTTCTGATTCTTTCTTTCTGCAGCATGTACGTCTTCTGTCTCGCAAGCAGTTCCAACTGAGGGCATTAATGCAGAAAGCAAGAAAGACTGCTGGACTCAGTGATCTCTACTAAATTCTCAGACTTAACCTGGGAAGTTAGATTTCCTTATGAAGCAGCCATTCTCTTGATATTTCTCTTAATCAGTAGGTGCCCAGAATAAGTTATTACATCATTCAAGTGTAAGATATTTTGAATTAATAATATATTTTCTTTTTGGTAAAGACTAGCTTTTATTAATGCACTTTCTATCTCCTGTAATCTTTGTGCTGGTGGACTTACGCTGAATAAAACTTGTTGCATATTTTCTTCCTCTACAGAACTGTGTATGATGTGCTTTCTTTGCAAACAAGCCTGGCTTACGCAGTGTCAGCTTAACCGTACTTTCTGTTTACTTCTGAGATTTGGAAGACATTTCAGTGTCCCAAACTGGAAAAATTCATGTTTCACTGTAATTAACCTTTGTTATGACCAATGAAAGCTGGAAACTCAAAATTTCAAGGCCCTGCTGTTGGACCTAGCTGTTGACATCCAAGGATTGTTTTCTTGAAGTGAGCTTAGTAACCATTATATTGACTTGCCTATTCTACTATCAGGTTATGGTCATAGCGGAGTATACCTTATGGTGCCTTAAGAAGCCTTGATGTATATTGTGTTTTTCACTAGAAAACACTAGGAAAAAGAAAGGCTGCTGCATTCGGTGTTGCGCTACCTGCCAGGCAGAGGATGCTACACCTCAGAATGCCACAGGAAGCACAGGGTCCAGCTGCGTTAGCTGGGACAGAGCGCATAGTGACAAGACTGGTGGTTAAACACCGCACTGTCTGTGAAAGAGGGTACTTTGTACAGAGCACCTCCCAACTTAGAGTGCTGTAGGGATTCATGCTGCTGCTCTTGCTGCCTCGTAGCAGCACGCTGCTGTCATCCTCTATTTGCTGTTGTAGGCTGCCTCAGCAAAGCTAGCTTGAAAACCAAAGTTTCTTGGTCTCAGCCCAGTAATCAGTGTAGCCCAAAACCGAGTGTCTTAAGGCTTTTCATGTTACCATTGGATCTGAAGAGATTGGTGTTTGTATTAAAAAGCTGGGTGAGACTTCATGTAGTAAAAAATTGTAAGTACTGTGGATCTTCTGAAAACTTTGAAAATGGCTTCGTATCACCTTCCTGTCATCTGCATAAAACGCTATTGCTATGTGCTCTCTTTCCAGGTGCTGTTTTGGTCACATGGATATGAGAGAAAGTGGTACACTAGCTACAGCTTTTAATGCATTACTGAAGTTTCTTCATGAGCACTTTCAGCTTATTCCTGAGAAGTAGCACCAGCTGCAGTCCATATTAAAAATATACCCTGGTCTTAATCAGGTGGTCCATTGTCATTTTTAGGCTACATGCTGTGTCCTAATGTTAGAAAAAGATGAGATTAAAGCCTTTCCCTCTTCACTGTAGTGAGGTGTATTGTTTTAAAATATTAATCACAGAGAAGATGATTAATTTTTCCTTATCTAAGTTAATATAGACTTCAAGGAGTAACTTTGGTCATTGTTTCTATGCACAGCCACTATTGCAGATGTGATGCTTTTCTGTGCTTGGCAGCAAGTTGACTATTTGTGAATGTCCAATACTTGATGGGGAGAGATTTCTCCCTGCGTGCATTTTTGTGTGTACCGGTAAGAAAGATGTTTCCTTTGTTGGAGTGTTTCTCCCCTCTCCTAAGATAGTGTCAATAGCACCCATTATCTTTGCATTAAGATAGGAATCAAGTTTAAGTTCTGAATATTTAAGTACTCCCACTGCTGTTTTTTCATTCCTACCTTGGGACTGTTAGAAAGTTCACTACATAAATGTCTGGAGCCTACAACAGTAAACATTAGAGGTGAGGTTAGAGATAGCATGACTGAAGAAATAGAGTTGTTTGTTTGATTTAGATGGGTACAAGTAAAGCTGCATTTTGGAGACAAAGCGCTATAAAGAAAGACGAGGAGACAGAAATAAGTTTGTGGTTTATTTGGTATTGGAGCTGGTACTACAGTTGGACAGTCACTGTGTCTTGTTGCATACAGAAACCTTTATTTTTTTTAAATGTGCTCAGGAGACAAACTTACAACTAGGCTGATATAGTACACAAAAATAATGTTCTCTAAAAAAAAAAAAACAACCACACAAAAATTCCAAAGCAGTGTTAGGAAAATACATTTGGACCTACCAACAGTGAAATATTTAAGCTATTCAGCTGGCAGAGAAGGTTGGTCAATGGGCTTGACAATCCTTTAACTGCAAGAAAATAGTCTTTGGTTTCACATTGTGTAATAATTAGTTACTTATTGTTCTGAACCAACATTAAAGAAGATGAGGAAAAGGCAAAGGGTTTTCTAGGCAGTGCTCATTTGAATGCTGGATTTCTTGTCACACCACTTCACTGTACAAGACTGACTAGGTTATCTGGCTCTGGCTAAGAACATGGGTGTCTGAACAGGGGAAAACCCTAGAAGGGTTTCCTGAAGATAGCATTAGGAAACTAATTTGTTCAGATTTCAGCTTTTTGTGTGTTCTAGTTGAGATACATACATTGAAAGATTTGACCTACTTGGAAAGTGCAGCGTAAGACAAGCCACTAAACCCATTAAACCGCAAAGAGTAAACTGCTGGGGTAGATTTAAAACTGTAGTTCCTTCTGGATTCCCCAGAGTGTGTCTGCACTCTTCCTTAATTTGTCTTCTTCCTCGGGTTTTAGGATCATCTTCACTACATCAGTGATGCCACTATTGCCCAGTACACAAGGAACACTTAGAAAGACATCTTCTTTTATTCCATGCATGCCCTGAAAAGTAGGTAAGGATAGTTAGGCTAGAATTTGTGTATGTCTAATATCCTATCAGGAAAACTCAACTAAACTTAGTTGAGCTTAAACTGAAAGTTATCACTGTTCTTCAGCATTCCCAAGGTTTTTAGTTCTCAGTATGACAAAAGTTAGCAAGAATGGGCTGCTCACCTTAACAATTGTAGAGATTGGGTGCACTCTTCGCAAATTCTTCATAATACTTTCAGCTAGATCTGCCACAGAAAGGCCAATAGCCCATGATGTGTACCCCTTCAGCTTGATGACCTCATAGGCACTGCAGAGACAAAGTTACTCATTAAATATTTCAGTTGATGGTACTTGTTTTTTTGAAGTTTGTAAGAAGGGCTTTTGGAAGTGCCCTAAGTTGGAGACATCAGAAGATTAACTGATTTGCTGACAGGACTGAAGTGAACTCAGCAGTGAAGAATGCTATTTCCATTTTACACTGCTCCACACAGTTACACTGAAAACATGGAAGTTAGAACACTTCCCTAATTTGAAGTTCACTAACTATGAAAAATTAACTGCCAAATCTACATTACTATTTAAAATATTTCAGGTTCCCTTATGTCTGCATCTTGACACTTGATTTTGGGCTACTATGGTATTTATGAAACCAGATATGGATAACTGCAGTTCAGAGATGCTCTAGCTCTTCATCATTTGTTCTTGTGTTGGAAAAAAGAGAGAAAAAAAATAATCAGTATTTACCTGTCCACCACTTGCTTATGGACCTCCTTCCAGTGTTCCTTGTCTGCATCAGTTCCCAAGTCTGGATGAAGAGCCTTCAGGGAGACGCCAGCAACATTCACTCCACTCCAGACAGGTACTGAGAGTTGCACAGAGATTAATTATATCACAAGATGAAGAATGTCCCCAGCCATAAGAAAACTTAGTTTTGTCCTCCTCAGATTAACAGTTAACACAAGGTCTAAACTGATTAATCTTCACAGCTGTCACCAATTTAGTTACAACTTTAAATATAGTATGAGCTACGAGGCAAACGTAATTTGTGGGCTAACAACCTAAGAGCATATGAACATCTTCCTTTATGCATGATGTCACAAGGTTTGTATTTACATTTATTAAAGCAAAACACCTAAGCAACATGAACTAAAATGACAGTAACTCTGGATTTTGCAAAGGTTTCTCAAAACAAGAATTGATTCTAAATAAGTCCTCCTGAGTGTCAGGAACCAGACAGTACTGCTGTGGTGCTGCTAGAGGAAGTACAAGTTAAATAAGGAGAAAGTTGCTTTTTCTCCTGTCCTCTACACTTGCCTCTGGACTTCAGTTCCTATATATAGTTCTTGAAGTAATCAAGAGATGCCAGTACCGACAACCAAGTGACTCCCAGTAGACCTAGTAGAGATCTTTGGGAGTCCCTTGCAGAGAACTTTACCCTCTTGCTGCTTCAGTTTGTTTTTTTAGAGAGTTACAGGAACAACTTAGCCTAGAAGTTTTCAGCCTGCTCAGGTTACAGTAATGACCTTTTCCAAGCAGAGTAACTCAGGTCAAATATAGATCATCTAGGGTTACTCTATACAGCAGAAGGTTTAAAGCAGGACTTGCATTCTTAAGGTGCTGCAGTGCAAAGGTTTTTGAGCAATGTTTTACTGTAGCTTTTGGAGATGTTTCTTGGAAAGTATCAGAAAAAGTTCTGTGTAACAGACAGATTTCACCCTTACCACTGGAATCTCCGTGCTCTCCAACAATCCATCCATGGCAGCTCAGAGGATGGATGCCCAGTCTTTCTCCCATAAGGTGGCGGAAACGAGCGGAGTCCAGATTGCAGCCACTGCCGATGACACGGTGTTTAGGAAAGCCACTGATCTTCCAGGCCACATAGGTCAAAATATCCACTGTAAGTAGAACAGAGAGGATAGTAAGTTTGGATAACTAGGATAGTATCTTCCATTCATCTGTAAGGACTTTATCTGCATGCTAGTGATGTGGAATAGAGCACCAAGCAATGCCCATCGCCAGGCCCTGCAGTGGGCTAACATAACGACTTCTTTAAAGGCAGAACAGAGAAGCTGTTTATGCTATGCATGCAATTATCAGCGCCCCTTACTGTGTCCTGTGCTAAAGATCGCTTAAAAGACAACTTGGTTTATTTCTCAGAGGACCAGCTTGCTGAGTGTGGAGAGGGAAGATGAAACTTCTTGCTATGTGGTTATGTGGCATTAAGTATTTTCTAAAAGCCTGTGCTTGGTCATATGAATATACTAATGCTACCTTACTGAAGAAAATGCTGTTCTCTAAGCCAAATCCTCTTATTAAGGCAACACAAGACCAACCTGGGTTTGAGACAATAAGCAGCTTGCAGTCAGGACTGTATTTAACAACATTGGGAATGATGAATTTGAAGATATTCACGTTGCGCTGGACCAAGTTAAGGCGGCTTTCTCCTTCTTGCTGACGGGCACCAGCAGTGACAATGACCAGCTTGGAGTGTGCAGTCACGCTGTAATCTGCAGA